GTCATAATGTTCCTCCTCCGGGATTTGTAGCACTTGTTGGACCAGCTCCTTTGTGATTGTGACTCTGGTGTTGCAGATTGTGGCAGCTAGGACGTCATCAATTTGTCTGCCGTTTGCATCCACGTCCTTGTCAAGTGTACCCCAGAATTGTTGGAGATACACCTGAGGGACTTCAGCGTTCTTGCTCAGGCTCTTCCACAGCTTGTGGCCTTTCAGAATAGAGACGACCACGTCATCTTGGCATGAGAACACCTCAGGGTCCAACTGTGAGTTGTTTTCCTTGATTGGGATCCAATGTTCCCTAGCATAGACCATGTTGATTGGAGTGTTGGCAGCCATTTCAATCTGAAAATGATAAACAGATTAGAGCATATGATAAAAAATGGCTAAGTCCACAACTTCTTGTCATTTGGGCCCTTTATTGTTTTCCCTTTGTTTTTTTTTTGAGTTGGGGCCCAATTTAGGAATGGTTATTGATCTGTTTTGAATTTGGGCCAGAAACTTGTTCATTTTGACCCAACTTAAGAATTTCCACTAAGGGTTCGCGTTGGGCTGGGCTGACTTGATTTCGCTCAGCCCAACAGTATTGGGCAAAGTGTGGGATCGCGCAAGGTAAGCTAATCGCGCAAGGGGGGAAATCGCGCAGGGCCGTAAAACGCGCATGGATGAAGATTGCGCAAGTGGGCGGATCGCGCGATACACAAGGATCTCGCAAACAGCCCAATCGCGCAAGTCGTCAAACCACTCCACCCCAAATCGCGCACGAAGGTAATCGCGCATCCTCTGTAGATCGCGCAACAGACCCATATCAAGCCAACCCGCAGATCGCGCAACCTCCTCTGTTCGCGCAAGGCTTTGGCTTCGCTCAAGGGTCTGATATCGCGCAAGCCAGATCGCGCAACCCTGGTTTTCGCGCAAGGAGACCTGTTCATCGTCTTCATTTAGACCGTGTACCTGTTCATCATCAGTAAAACAGATAATCGAAGAAAGAATGGAGAAATTTTTACCGATGAGTGAGCGAAAATGGGAAAGGGAGTTGAGAGATTCGGAGCTCTGGGAGTTGGAGAGTTTCGCGCAAGAGAAAAATGAAATGGAAAAGGAGTTGCGCGTTTCTGGGTTTAAATAGGCCCGGGGTTTTTCAAAATTTAAACGGGCCCAAATCAGTCTGAATTCAGTTTAAAATTGCTCCCCCTCAACACTTGCTTCTCCTTAACAATGAATATTTTAGCAAACTCCCCCTCAATTTATACATAATTTGGAAGTACTTCCCCTCAACAGATGAACAGATTTTGAAAAGCTCTCCCTCAAGTTATGTATTGAAAAAAAAATGATGCATGAAAAATAAAAGGAAAAACATGCGATGGAAAAAAAAATGCATGAGAGAGAGAAAAGAAATGTGATGCAAAAATAACAAAAATGCAAAACATGAAAGCACACGCGCACACACAGTTCAGATGTTACTCAGTCATTCAGGTTCAGCATCCCCAGCTTAGAGATCAGGAAATTGAATCTCTTTTCATCCAGGGCCTTTGTGAAAATATCAGCCAGTTGCAATTCCGTAGACACAAAGTACATGTCCACGGTGCCTTTCTCAACGTGATCCTTTATAAAATGATATCTGAGATCAATATGCTTCGTCCTTGAATGATGGACCGGATTGCACGTGATGGCTATTGCACTTTGAGAGTCACTGTAGATCGGGATGTGTGAGAATGTGAACCCGTAGTCTTTCAGCTGGGTCCTCATCCATAATATCTGTGAGCAACAGCTAGCAGCCGCGACATATTCTGCCTCAGCTGTAGAAGTGGACACACAATTCTGCTTTTTGGAGGACCAGCACACCAACTTATCACCAAGAAATTGAGCACCGCCAGATGTACTCTTTCTGTCTAGCTTGCAACCCGCAAAATCAGCATCTGAGTATCCAACTAGGTCAAAACCTGATTCCTTGGGATACCAAAGGCCCAGATTGACTGTTCCTTTGAGATATCTCAGTATTCTTCTAACAGCATTCAGATGTGATTCCTTCGGATTTGCTTGAAAGCGGGCGCATAGGCAGGTTGCAAAGACAATGTCTGGTCTGCTAGATGTAAGGTACAGCAAGGAACCGATGATAGCCCTATAATTGGTAGCATCGACTGGTTTCCCGGAAGGGTCAGAGTCGAGCTTCTGTGAGGGAGACATAGGGGTTTTCATCGTTGACTTGCTGTCCATTTTGAAGCGCTTTAGCATATCGTGGATGTACTTGGACTGATTTATGAATATTCCGTCTGGCATTTGCTTGATCTGAAGCCCTAGAAAGAAGTTCAACTCTCCCATCATACTCATCTCGAACTTGGTGCGCATCAGATTGCTGAACTTTCTACAGAAATTTGGATTCGACGAGGCAAAAATGATGTCGTCAACATAAATTTGTATCAGCATGATGTCACCCTTGTGTCTTTTGATGAAGAGAGTTGGATCTATCTTTCCCTTCGAGAAGCCCGATTCTACAAGAAAATCTGACAGTGCTTCGTACCAGGCTCTCGGTGCCTGTCTCAATCCATACAGGGCTTTCCTCAGCTTATATACATGATTGGGGCGTTCAGGATCAACAAAGCCGTCAGGTTGTGCAACGTAGACTTCTTCTGTCAAATCTCCATTAAGAAATGCCGTCTTTACATCCATTTGATACACTGTGAAGTTCTTGTGTGCAGCATAAGCGAGGAATAGTCTTATCGCTTCAATTCTTGCCACTGGTGCAAAGGTTTCATCGTAGTCGATTCCTTCTTGTTGATTGTAACCTTTTGCAACCAGGCGGGCCTTGTTTCTCACGATCACACCGTCTTCATCTTTCTTATTCTTGAATACCCATTTGGTGCCGATAATGGTTTTCTTGTAAGGTCTTGGCACCAGGGTCCACACTTTCAATCTTTCAAACTGGTTCATTTCTTCCTGCATAGCAATCACCCAGTCCGGATCAGCCAATGCGTCAGTCATCTTTGTTGGTTCTTTCTGACTCAGAAAACATGAGTATAAGCATTCATTGACTGATGCCGTTCTGGTTCTGACTCCTTGAGATGGATCTCCAATTATCAGCTCTGGCGGATGTGCTCTTGTCCACTTTCTCTCATGTTGTAGAGGCTGTGGAGTTATGATTGGATGATCAGGGTCAGAATATTCTTGCTCTGGTTGTGCTTCTGGGGTTTCTTGCGTTGCAGCTTCCTCAGTTTGATCATTAACAGGAGTGTTTGGTTCTTGTTCAGCTTCATTTTCTGTGTGTTCATCATCATTCTGAGTAGGAGTGTTGGTTTCTTCAGTGGTTGGAGCAGGTAACAGGGGGTTCTGAGTAGGTGTAGCATTTGTAGTTGGTGGTGCACGTGGTTGACTGTAGAAGTGCTCAAATAGAGAATCCAGAACCACGTGCTCATCAGGTCTTGTCTCACCTCCCTGCCCTCCTACTCCAGAAGATGATGGAGCTTCATTGTTTGCAGAGGTTGATGGTTCAGAATGAAAATGTTCAGAAGCCAAGTCCGCCATTTCATAGAAGCTCACATTGATGCTCTCCATGACGGTTCTTCTGTCTTTCAAGTAAACTCTGTACGCCTTGGAATTGGTAGAATACCCAATGAATATCCCTTCATTTGCTTTTGGATCAAGCTTCCCCCTAGCATCCCTGTCGTTCATAATGTAGCATTTGCAGCCGAAGACGCGGAAGAAGGCAATGTTAGGGAGCCGCTTGAACACGATCTCATAAGGCGTCTTGTCAAATCTCTTGTGGATCACCGTCCTGTTCTGTGTGAAGCAAGCCGTGTTGATAGCTTCCGCCCACATGAAGTGAGGAAGCTTTGACTGTATTAGCATGGTTCTGGCTGCTTCCACCAAGGTTCTGTTCCGTCGTTCTACAACACCGTTCTGCTGTGGTGTCTTAGCTGCAGAGAACTGTTGAGTAATTCCCTGAGCTTCATAGAATTCGGTCAGTTCATTGTTCTTGAACTCCGTCCCGTTATCAGTTCTGATGATCTTCACATTCTGCTGTAGATAGTTCTGTATGGTCCTGATGAACGTCATGATTAAGTTTGCCGTTTCGTCCTTGGAGCGCAAAAACTTGGTCCATGTGTAGCGTGAGTAGTCATCCACAATTACCAAAGTATATTTGCGTCCACTGATGCTATGCACGCGCATCGGACCACACAAATCCATATGTAATAGCTCCAGGGGACGAGATGAGGAGGGAAATTGTTTTGACTTGTGTGATGCTCTCCTCATCTTTCCCAAATGACATGCAGAACAGTGATGGTTGGGGGAGTTCTTCAGAACAGGCAGTCCTTTCACCAACTTCTTCGAGGAGAGGGAACTGATGGCTGGCAGATTCAAGTGTGAGAGACGTCTGTGCCATAGGCTGCTTTGTTCTTCTGATGCTTTGGACAGGAGACAGATGGATATGGGGGATCGTACCGATTTCAGATCAATGGTGTAGAGATTGGTTTTCCTCTGACACCTTAATAATGGTGTTCCACCCATATCCATCACACAACATTGCCTAGCATGGAATCTCACTTCCATTCCATTGTCACAAAATTGGCCGATGCTAAGCAAGTTGTGCTTCAGTCCCTGCACATATGATACGTTTCTGATTGTGACGCTCTCACAGATGACATCTCCTATCCCAAGAATGGGCGATGAAGCATTGTTCCCAAACCTCACATTTCCTCCAAACCTTTCAGAATAGTTGCTCAGTAGTTCAATCTGTCCAGTCATGTGTGACGAGCAACCCGAATCAAGATGCCACACATGACTGACCTGCAAAACAGATTAGTTTCGCTTAGGTACCCATCGCCAGATGGGTCCTTCCTTATCAACAGTGAGCAATTGTTTCAACTTCTTTTTGATTTGGGATCCTAGGCTGGCTGATTGAGAAGAGTTTTTCATTTTTATTTGTTCTGCTTCAGCCTTAGGAACCCATTTTTGTTTGATTTGAACGATTTTTGGAGCGAGGGAACTTTCATTTGTCCTAAGTGATTGTTCAGATAAATGATCTTTCAAAATTGGTTCACATGATAGCCTTTTCAGATGTTTGTGTCACGCCCCGGACCTATCCGGGCACGTCAACAACCCGCCGTACAATACGAATAGTCAACCGCAGTCCAACACATTCATATTATACAAGGCGTCTTGAATATCATTCACACATATACATCCATAAACAAACATAATAAGTAATTCATAACGCAGCGGAAAACATTGTTTAAAACAAAAGGGCCACACATGGCTATTCATGAGCACGCAGGCTCTATAGTAAAATATCCATGAGCATGTTTATTAATGTTTAAAAACAGAATGGAGGAAGCACGAACCAAGTCTTCCCTCCTAGATGAATCTCTCGAGCAACGAGCACAGGAAGCAAGCTCTAGCCTCAACCTGAAAAATGGTGGTGGGACGCCCCCGAAGGGGTCAGCACTCTATAGGGCTATAAAGTGCTGGTGTGGATGGCATCTAATAGATATACAACAAGTATTTCAAACACAAGACCCTCAAATAGGGTGATAATATAATCTAGGCCGTAACCCCAAGTTACCCCGTTTTAAAATATACTTACTTTATATATAAAGTCAAGTAGTCGGCCTGTAGGCCCAAGGTTTGTTTATCAAACATACCCCAAAATCCCGTGACCCCTAGTCACAACAATACATAGGGTCCAACCCTAACACATATGTTTGCATTCTCGAGTCCAACTCGACTACATCACCATGCACCTTTATTAACATAAGCTAACTACTTCACCGTGCATTCTCGAGTCCAACTCGACTACATCCCCATGCACACAATCACCTCATCATGTCTACCCAATGCAATTCTATGAGCACGGGCTCAAGTACATCTCCTTACATTGGCATAGACCCCAATTCCTAAGCACTCACTAGGCCTAGAATTGTAATATCAATAATCTATCTTGGGACATCCCTACGGACTGCCCAACCATGGTCTTAGCATCACATTACATCAATTTAGTCACTTGCATCACAATCAAGTTCATCAATTACAATCAAATCCTTAGATTCAATTCTTCAACAATTTCAACAATCATTAACTAGTATTTCAATACTATTAAGATTATTCTTATCAATCATATATTCCATTTGTAAAACCCTACATATTTAGAGATATGTAGCAGCAACTTAATCATTCAATGTAATACATAAATAATCATTTATGTATCTACACAATTCACACATGAGTAAAATGCCTATTTCACACAATAGTTCATTTAACTCCATTTTCATCAATACTTTACCAAATCATTTCTTATTTCATTCTTTGGAAAATAGATCAATATTCCATCAATAGGTTATCATCATAATCCATGGAAAACATTATTTAAGCATTTAGGTAATCTCATGCTTAACCTACAAGTTGTAAGCAACTAGATGTCGATCCTCACCTCAAATGAGCTTTAAAACCTTCCTTCTCGATCCAATGGCTAAAGCCTCGGCCAAGGAAGATTGGGAACTAGTTCCTTGCTTGAAAATGGGTGCTAAACAGCCTCCTCAAGTTGCTATTTCAACCCCGAGTCGTTGATACTAAAACAGCCCCTAGAACGGGTGTTTTCCGGCTAACTCGATTCCTAGTTTTCCAATGTTTGCACCTAGGTTAGTATCTAACCTTTACATCAATAAAATAACTTAATAGGGATGTTTTATACACTTGGAGTAGTGTATAATAGTCCCACCAATCGTTCATATCATTTGGAAAATGAATGGAAAGGTTTTGGGATTAACAACTCACTTAGAAGAGTAAATCCGTCCCTGCGAGGTCTCGTTCTGCTCGGACGATTTGGAAGCCTTCCTCTACTCCGATTGATGCAAACCAGACCTTCACGGATTCCTCGTCTTGAGAGCTTTCTTTTGGTATCTCACACGCCTTAATTGGATTGGTAAAACTCGAGATATCGGCCAAACAGTCTCAGCACTCTCACAGCTCGAGTTCACAGACCTCTTCTCGTTCCAGATCGATTTTTGGATGATTGACTTCTCCTCTCGAACTGTGGCCACTCAAATATGAAAATAGACTTCAAAAGCTATCCAAAGACACCTTATACACGTTGTTTGGTCGAGTATAACTCCCATAATGAGTGGAGACAAACAGCACACCATTTTGTGCGGAAATTGACAAGGTGGGTCTCAAGGTTGATTCCAATCAAGTCTTGTGCAGCCCTCCTCCAGCTGGTGCGGCCAAGGTAAGTCTCCTCACTTAATTTTCTTGTTTTGTAGGTACTCTAATCATGTGGAGTGGTTCCCAATTGATCCCAATTAATTTGGGATCCAAATTATCTACCAATACTTCCAAAAATGGGGAAAATGGGTCCTATTGTTTTATCTTTGTCAAAAGATGTCTTTTTGTACTCCTCCTAATTTATTTAGAACAAGTCAACTTCCTAAATCACATTATTGATCTCCAATATGTGTAGGCTCATCCCAATAATTTACATTATGAAAATTACAAACGAATGCGGGTTTGAACAATACAATATTCAATCATATACTTCGTAAAATATTAATCGTTTCTTCCATTGTTTTGAAATCGGAAATTCAATACATCACTTTGGAATTTTTAAATCGAATTTTCAAGGACGTTCGGGTGCGGTGTCACAAGTTCACCCCCCCTTAACAGGAATTTCGTCCCCGAAATTCACAGCTCTACTCGAATAAGAAAGCATACTGCTTCCTCATCAAAGCCTCTGTTTCCCATGTCTCTTCCTCGACCCGATCGCTCTTCCACAGGACTTTAACCATTGGGACTTCTTTGCTCCTCAGCTTCTTCACCTTTCTATCGGTGACCTTGATAGGTTGAACAGCGTAGTTCAAATCCTCACGTACCTCTACAGGTGGCTTCTCCAATACGTGAGAGGGATCGTGCACATACTTCTTAAGCATGGATACATGAAACACATTATGTATCTTCTCTAACTCAGGAGTCAACTGTAGACGATATGCAACGGCCCCAATCCTCTCTATAATTCTGAATGGACCTATATATCGTGGGTTAAGTTTTCCTCGGGTTTGGAACCGAATGATCCCTTTCCAAGGAGAAACTTTCAAGAATACCTCGTCATCAACCTTAAACTCTAAGGTTCTTCGACGCTTATCTGCATAACTCTTTTGTCTATCCTGAGCCGCCTTGAGTCTCTCTCGAATCAACTTCACCTTTGATTTGGTGACCTCAACCAACTCAGTACCCTCGAGTTTGGCCATGCCAACCTCGTCCCAGCATAACGGTGTACGACACCTTCTCCCATACAATGCCTCGTATGGAGGCATGCCGATGCTTGCCTGATAACTGTTGTTATAGGCAAACTCCACAAGTGCTAAGTGGTTGTCCCAACTTCCTTGGAACTCCAATGCACAAGCCCTCAACATGTCTTCCAAGATCTGTATGACTCTTTCAGACTGTCCATCCGTCTGTGGGTGGAAAGCAGTACTGAACTTCAACCTCGTTCCCATAGACTCCTGAAATTTCGGCCAAAAACGTGATGTGAATCGTGGGTCTCTATCGGATACAATGGTCACTGGGACCCCATGCAGCCTCACGATCTCATCCGTATACAATTTGGCTAACCTCTCAAGTGGGTAGGTAGTGTTGATAGGCAAGAAGTGTGCACTCTTTGTGAGCCTATCCACAACGACCCAAACTGCATCATAGTTCCTGATTGTCCGTGGTAAACCTACCACGAAATCCATAGTCACGTGTTCCCACTTCCATTCAGGAATGGAAAGTGGCTGCAATAAGCCTGCTGGATGCTGATGTTCCGCCTTAACTTGTTGACAAGTAAGGCATCGACTAATGTATTCGGCTATTTCCCTCTTCATCCCAGACCACCAGTAACTTTCTTTCAAGTCACGGTACATTTTCGTGCCCCCCGGGTGCATGGCATACGCCGATGAATGAGCCTCCTCTAAGATGGACTTTCGGAGCTCCTCATCTGCCGGTACACACACTCGGTCACGAAATAATAAGAGACCGTCATCTCTTTCTCTGAAGTCCTCCACCGGTCCCACTTGCATGCGTTCCCGGATCTTCATAATTTCTTCGTCGGTTTCCTGACCCTTCTTGATCTCATCAAGTAAAGTAGGTCTCACCTCAAATCGTGCCAATAAGGCACCATCGCTGGATACCTCCAGTTGGGCTCTTAATGCCCTCAAATTAGCTAGCAATGCCCCAGACGAGCTCTTCCGGCTCAAAGCATCTGCCACCACATTTGCCTTGCCTGGGTGGTACTCTATCACTAGATGGTAGTCTTTTATCAGCTCCATCCACCGTCTCTGTCTCATGTTTAGCTCTTTCTGAGTAAACACGTACTTCAAGCTCTTGTGATCAGTGTATATGTGACATGTCTCCCCGTAGAGATAATGTCTCCATATCTTCAGTGCAAACACCACTGCTCCCAGCTCCAGATCATGGGTAGGATAATTTACCTCATGCTTCTTCAACTGTCGTGAAGCATAGGCAATTACCCTCCCTTCCTGCATCAACACACACCCAAACCCTTGGATGCTCGCGTCACTATAGACATCGTACCCCACACCCTGTTTGGGTAATGCAAGTACCGGTGCCTCGGTCAATCTCTTCTTTAGTTCGATGAATCCTTTCTCACATTTGTCATCCCATATAAACTTAGCTCCCTTTCGAGTGAGCTTCGTCAACGGCGACGCCAAAACAGAGAACTTTTCCACGAACTTTCTGTAATAGCCTGCCAATCCAAGGAAACTACGAATCTCCTTGACATTCCTTGGTCTCTCCCATTCGGTAATGGCCTCTATCTTCTTATTATCAACAGCAATTCCCGATCCCGAAACCACATGCCCGAGAAAGCCAATTTCCTTTAGCCAAAATTCACATTTAGAAAATTTGGCATAAAGTTGCTTCTCCCGTAGTGTCTCAAGAACGAGTATCAAGTGCTCCTCATGCTCTTCCTCACTCTTTGAGTAAATCAAAATGTCGTCTATGAACACAATCACGAATCGATCCAAGTATTTATGGAATACTCGGTTCATCAAGTCCATGAATGCCGCTGGGGCGTTTGTTAACCCAAACGACATAACAAGGAACTCAAAATGTCCATACCTTGTGCGGAAAGCACTCTTTGGTATGTCGTCTTCCTTAATCTTCAATTGATGGTAACCCGACCTCAAATCGATCTTTGAAAACACGGTTGCCCCTCGTAGTTGGTCAAACAAGTCATCAATTCTAGGCAAAGGATACCTATTCTTGATTGTGACCTTGTTCAGTTGACGATAGTCAATACACATTCGAAGTGTCCCATCTTTCTTTTTCACAAAAAGAACTGGTGCTCCCCACGGGGAGTGGCTTGGTCTAATGAAACCATTATCCAAAAGCTCTTGCAATTGGGTTTTCAACTCGTTAAGTTCAGCGGGTGCCATACGGTATGGCGGTATGGAGATTGGTTTGGTGCCGGGCTCGACCTCGATCACGAACTCAATCTCCCTATCGGGTGGAAGTCCCGGTAAGTCTTTAGGAAAGACGTCCCGATACTTGCATACTACCCTAACATCATCAATGCTCGTATCTTCTTTGGTTTTGTCCACCACATACGCTAGATATGCGTGACACCCCTTCCTCATCATATTCTTAGCCCTCACGGCGGATATGATACAACTATTGGATTTTGCCCTATCCCCCTCGAAGCGTAAGGTTACCCCTTCATTGCCTTCGAGTTCAAGTACTTTCGTGTAACAATCGACCCTAGCATGATGCTTCTCAAGCCAATCCATCCCCAGGATTGCATCGAACTCAATCATACTCAGCGGCACGAAATCACACGACAAGTTTTGGCCCTCCACTTCCACCTCACACGATGGATAGTGGCTATCTCTCTCGATGTCTTCCCCTAGGGGTGTGGATACCAATAGGGCTTGAGCCATCGGTACCAGGGGTGCGTTGAATCCCCCGGCGAATGCCTCACTCACAAATGATCGTTGCGCCCCGGTATCGATGAGGATTCTCGCACATCTCCCATTAATCTTTAGTGTTCCTACATTTATAAACCATGTAAGATACCTCTCTAACATACCGACCAATCCTACGAAGAACATAATGCGAAATCATGTCCTTAAAGTGGGCAAAATCCCCCAATTATGGTTGACGTTCGCAGTTGAGATATAGATTGACACTGTCTCACCGTTTTGATCATATCTCTTCACATACTTAACCAAATCGTTCGATTCAAATTCCATCATTTAGACAATGAAAATATCTACAACTTTCATGAAGACAACTTTTTCATTTGACGAACACTTCGAGGTGTACCCGGTCGGGTAACATACTATACCCGATCGGGTATAAGTTCTAGTGGGTTCGGGCAGAATTTTTTTTTGACAAACCCGGTCGGGTTTACCACCATACCCGGTCGGGTATGTGTTCCAGAAAGTGTCTGGAAGATATTTTTGACAAACCCGGTCGGGTATACCACCATACCCGGTCGGGTATGTGTTCCAGAAGGTGTCGGGCAGAAATTTTTGACAAACCCGGTCGGGTATACCACCATACCCGGTCGGGTATGTGTTCCAGTGGACTTATGAGTGCAAAAACTTGTCCTACCCGGTCGGGTTCATTACCAAACCCGATCGGGTATGCGATCCAGAAGGTTTACGAGGGCAAAAACTCGTCCCACCCGGTAGGGTTTATTGCCCTACCCGATCGGGTAGTAGCATGGTTTTGCTCTCCTTTCCCATTTCAATCTTACGTCTGCTCCCACCTGGATTCTAGGATTTATAACTTCAATTTATGGACTAATTAAGGATAAAACACTAGTATACGAGAGGCAATACCTGCAACGGAATCCGGGTTAGCTTGAGCATCCGCCTCCGTCATCGCGTAGACCCTAGCTTGAGTCCTTCCTTGATTCACGGACGGCGCGTTGCTTGCGCTTGCTCCCCCTTGCCCCCTGGATGCTTGTGAAGTCCCGGCTTGATTCCGTGTCCCGGTATTACCACTACTTGGCCCTGATGCCCTCGTCCCGCCCAGTTGTGGGCAGCTCATCTTCATGTGACCGGTGCTCCCGCATTGGTAGCATCTAGGAGGGTCACGACATTTCCCCGGGTGGTTCCTCTTGCAATTCTTACAACGAGTCACCCCCGAGGCTTGTGATTGCCCGCCCGGGCCATGACTTCCCCTAGGTGGCAGTGGGGGTGTCCGAAAAGATCCCCCTCCCCCATGGTTCCCCTTTTTGCTAGGACCTTGATGCCCATGGTTCTCCCACTTCCTCTTCTTTGCCTCTTCGGCGTTCTTCAACTTTCTTTCCTCCCATTCTTTCTCTCCTTTTAACCCTTGCTCGACCACTTGGCTAAAAGTCATGTTAGGCAACTGTGTTGCCCTCTCACGCACCTCCAGGTCTAAGGCATCCCAGAAGTGATTTACCATCCGGTTCTCGTCACACACATACTCCGGTATGAACTCCGCGAGCTCCCTGAATTTGTGTTCAAGTTGCCTCACCGTCATTTTGCCCCCTTGGGTCAGGAGGGTATACTCTCTCCTCTTGGCGTTCACCTCAAAATCAGAATAATATTGGGCAAAGAACTCCTGTCGGAAATTCTCCCAAGTCACCGTGTTGCCATACTTTCCCTTGGCTCCGTCCCACCATGTGGATGCCATCCCTTCAAGCAACCTCACCGCCACCCTTAGCTTAAACTCGGGGGTGAGTTGCATATCAAGGGCTGCTTCGTTCAGCCTCTTGATCCATTCCGCGGCAACCGAGATGTCACCTGCTCCGTTGAAGGGTTTGCACCCCAAGTCTCTCGCCTCTTTGAGAAATTTTGAGATCCTTATGATCGGACCTCCATCACCCCGGCCCCCATGTGGTTCAATGTGGGCCCTAGAGTCGCCTTGGCTTCTTCCTCTTGAAGCCCCACCCAAAGTTCGCCCTCCCCGGCGCCTTCGGCGTTCCCTCCTTTCTTCGCGCTCCCGCTGATATTGTTGGAGCAGCGCCTCGATTCTGGCTAGGGAGTCATTCTCCCCTTCTTCATCACTTATATCATCGTCATCCCCTTCGTAAGGGGTCTCAACCGGCTCGGTCTCCGGTTGGTAAGTTGAGTCCTCATAGGACCAGTAGGTTTCACTTTCTGTGTCAACATGACCGTCACTCACGGTCTGTGATCGGCCTCCACGGCCAGCTCCCCTAGACGCCCTAGAGGTCCTTCGACTGCCCTGTCCAGTCTCCACTGGTACACGGCCCGTCGGGTTTCTCCTAGTAATCCTGCCACCACCGTCCATTTCTGAAAGAAATTTGGAAAGAGTCATTAGACTCGTATCAAATGTCAATTGACGGATAGGTACTTAAGACACATTTTGGCTCGAGTCACCGCCATACCAATTGCTAAGGGTACCATCTTAACAATTAGAGACCTTGCAACCCAAGTACCAAAAGCTCTCCAAGTACAAAACTCCTATGCTCATGGTTTTCAAAATCTTTTTCAAAAAGAGAATTTTGAGACTTCATTATGAAGTTTATGGACTAAGGCTCTGATACCAACTTAATTGTCACGCCCCGGACCTATCCGGGCACGTCAACAACCCGCCGTACAATACGAATAGTCAACCGCAGTCCAACACATTCATATTATACAAGGCGTCTTGAATATCATTCACACATATACATCCATAAACAAACATAATAAGTAATTCATAACGCAGCGGAAAACATTGTTTAAAACAAAAGGGCCACACATGGCTATTCATGAGCACGCAGGCTCTATAGTAAAATATCCATGAGCATGTTTATTAATGTTTAAAAACAGAATGGAGGAAGCACGAACCAAGTCTTCCCTCCTAGATGAATCTCTCGAGCAACGAGCACAGGAAGCAAGCTCTAGCCTCAACCTGAAAAATGGTGGTGGGACGCCCCCGAAGGGGTCAGCACTCTATAGGGCTATAAAGTGCTGGTGTGGATGGCATCTAATAGATATACAACAAGTATTTCAAACACAAGACCCTCAAATAGGGTGATAATATAATCTAGGCCGTAACCCCAAGTTACCCCGTTTTAAAATATACTTACTTTATATATAAAGTCAAGTAGTCGGCCTGTAGGCCCAAGGTTTGTTTATCAAACATACCCCAAAATCCCGTGACCCCTAGTCACAACAATACATAGGGTCCAACCCTAACACATATGTTTGCATTCTCGAGTCCAACTCGACTACATCACCATGCACCTTTATTAACATAAGCTAACTACTTCACCGTGCATTCTCGAGTCCAACTCGACTACATCCCCATGCACACAATCACCTCATCATGTCTACCCAATGCAATTCTATGAGCACGGGCTCAAGTACATCTCCTTACATTGGCATAGACCCCAATTCCTAAGCACTCACTAGGCCTAGAATTGTAATATCAATAATCTATCTTGGGACATCCCTACGGACTGCCCAACCATGGTCTTAGCATCACATTACATCAATTTAGTCACTTGCATCACAATCAAGTTCATCAATTACAATCAAATCCTTAGATTCAATTCTTCAACAATTTCAACAATCATTAACTAGTATTTCAATACTATTAAGATTATTCTTATCAATCATATATTCCATTTGTAAAACCCTACATATTTAGAGATATGTAGCAGCAACTTAATCATTCAATGTAATACATAAATAATCATTTATGTATCTACACAATTCACACATGAGTAAAATGCCTATTTCACACAATAGTTCATTTAACTCCATTTTCATCAATACTTTACCAAATCATTTCTTATTTCATTCTTTGGAAAATAGATCAATATTCCATCAATAGGTTATCATCATAATCCATGGAAAACATTATTTAAGCATTTAGGTAATCTCATGCTTAACCTACAAGTTGTAAGCAACTAGATGTCGATCCTCACCTCAAATGAGCTTTAAAACCTTCCTTCTCGATCCAATGGCTAAAGCCTCGGCCAAGGAAGATTGGGAACTAGTTCCTTGCTTGAAAATGGGTGCTAAACAGCCTCCTCAAGTTGCTATTTCAACCCCGAGTCGTTGATACTAAAACAGCCCCTAGAACGGGTGTTTTCCGGCTAACTCGATTCCTAGTTTTCCAATGTTTGCACCTAGGTTAGTATCTAACCTTTACATCAATAAAATAACTTAATAGGGATGTTTTATACACTTGGAGTAGTGTATAATAGTCCCACCAATCGTTCATATCATTTGGAAAATGAATGGAAAGGTTTTGGGATTAACAACTCACTTAGAAGAGTAAATCCGTCCCTGCGAGGTCTCGTTCTGCTCGGACGATTTGGAAGCCTTCCTCTACTCCGATTGATGCAAACCAGACCTTCACGGATTCCTCGTCTTGAGAGCTTTCTTTTGGTATCTCACACGCCTTAATTGGATTGGTAAAACTCGAGATATCGGCCAAACAGTCTCAGCACTCTCACAGCTCGAGTTCACAGACCTCTTCTCGTTCCAGATCGATTTTTGGATGATTGACTTCTCCTCTCGAACTGTGGCCACTCAAATATGAAAATAGACTTCAAAAGCTATCCAAAGACACCTTATACACGTTGTTTGGTCGAGTATAACTCCCATAATGAGTGGAGACAAACAGCACACCATTTTGTGCGGAAATTGACAAGGTGGGTCTCAAGGTTGATTCCAATCAAGTCTTGTGCAGCCCTCCTCCAGCTGGTGCGGCCAAGGTAAGTCTCCTCACTTAATTTTCTTGTTTTGTAGGTACTCTAATCATGTGGAGTGGTTCCCAATTGATCCCAATTAATTTGGGATCCAAATTATCTACCAATACTTCCAAAAATGGGGAAAATGGGTCCTATTGTTTTATCTTTGTCAAAAGATGTCTTTTTGTACTCCTCCTAATTTATTTAGAACAAGTCAACTTCCTAAATCACATTATTGATCTCCAATATGTGTAGGCTCATCCCAATAATTTACATTATGAAAATTACAAACGAATGCGGGTTTGAACAATACAATATTCAATCATATACTTCGTAAAATATTAATCGTTTCTTCCATTGTTTTGAAATCGGAAATTCAATACATCACTTTGGAATTTTTAAATCGAATTTTCAAGGACGTTCGGGTGCGGTGTCACAGTTTGACTGAGTGAATCTTGAGAGGATACTTTAAAAATGGCAATTTGACCTCACTCTCAACATTCACCCTATCAATCTTGGGCTTATTTGCAACATTATCAACAATCACAGGATCAATTGGTTTGTGAGAAGAAACAGACTCAAAACAACAACATTTCATTGATTTAATGCAATTCAGAGAAACACATTTAGTACAGCGATTCGAGACAGAAATCTTAGAACTAGAAGACTTAGGAGCCACTCTCTTAGCATAACTAGTAGATGGCTCACTAATGCTAGAACTAGACTTATTCTTAACATAAAATATGGCGCTCGACCGTTGACACTTATTTCTTAATCTCGACTCTTCTTCTCTCTTCTTCCTTCTTATTTTGTCTTCAATCCACTCTCCTTTCTTCTCGACTCTCTTCTTCACATCTTTCCCTGTCGGAGAATGAGACTTGGGGTGAGAAGGAGAAGTCTTAAAACTATCGCTTGAATTTTCAGAAGTGTTTTCAGAAGTAGAAGGGGAAGAGGGTTGAGAAGCTGTGTTAGACTGAGAGGCGGTTTTCAAAGAAGATATTTCTTTTAAAAGTTCATCCTTCTCTTTTTCCAAAACCTGCTTTTCCTTTTCAAAAGAATCTTTTAACTCAGCAAACTTTCTCACCAATGGTGGAATGTAGGCTGGTTTCTCAATTGGTTCAGATGTGGAAGCCTCCTCTCCGTCTTTCTCAGCTTCCTTTTCAGGAGGATAGGTCAAGATTTCTTCAGCAGGGGTCAAAGGGAGTGCTTTGGTTTTGTAGCTCTTGTTTAACTCTGTGTAGTCAAAAGGAACCTCTACACCAGCCTTTGTCTTTCTCTTTTCATCCTCAAGGGCATTCGTTTCTTCAGCTCCAGTGAAGGCCATGAGTTTGGTCAATCCTATTTTCATGTATCTAACATCATAGAGTTGTCTACAATTGACCTTTTTCAGGTTCTGAGGATTGGTCAAACCCAAGCCTTCTTTGGCGTTATAGAAACGAGTGTCCTTAGGCTGGTTAAGGAAAATAGTCTGATCTGTTTGGTCCCTTTTGGCTAACAGATCCTCAAGTTCTTTAATTTTAGTATAAAGAGCACCCCTTCTTTCCATTAGCAGATTATTGACACCAAAAAGCCTAATTCTTTCTTTTTCAGTTGTTCTAAGCTTCTCTGTCAACTCTTTCTCACTAGCACTAAGTCGCTTATTCTCAGTTGTGAGTTTAGTGATTGTTTTCTCTGAATTGATTATCTTAATGTTTGAGCATGTCTGTTTTTCACGCAGTTGGTTATATACCTCATACAACCTTTTGTAATTCACCTCAAACTCCTTAAATTTATCATGCATATCTGTTCTAGAGCAGTTATGAACAGATGGATTAGAGGTACTTACTTCATTGTTAGCATTTCTGTTTTCAGCAGTCAGGGCAGTTGCTACATCAGCATTGGTTGCAGTAGGCAGGTTCTTCTCCTCAGCTTTGTCTTTCTTCTTTTCATCAGCAGCAGGGGTTGACTTCATCTTTCCTTCCTCATCAGCATCTTTCTCTTTCTTTTCTTCTTCGACAATTGCCATCAAGGCCAGATTCTCTTCCTCATCAGAATCATCCATCCAGTGGTCTTTTTCAGCCATGAGAGCACTCTTTTCCTTGTTTTCTTCCATAGCCAGCAACATCTTCTTCTTGTTCAGGTACATCTTCTGCTTGTAGTATTCAGCATCTTTCTTCCTCTTAGGCATCCTGCAGTCCTTCATCAGATGTCCAGTCTTCCCACAATTGAAGCACTTTGGAGCATCCTCAGCAACAATATTCTCAGACGAATCAGAAGATCGCTCTTTTCTCTTGCTGTTGCTGGTAGAGGACTTGCGGAGCCTGTTGTTAGAGGAGTTCTTCTTCATCTGCATATGATTGTTGAACCTCGAAGTAAGAAGTGCTATTTGCCTCTGAAAATCATGCATCTCATCATCATCTGAGTCATTCTTAAATCCAACGTCACTGTCAGAACTTTCACTTTCTTCAACTATCATCTTATCCTTCTTGGAGCCAGACTTCGATGGCTTGTCAAGCATCAGGGCAAGGGTGTCAGCAAGCTTGTCCACAGCTCCCTTCCCTTTATTAGCTGTCACAGAGGCTACCACAAGATCAGAAAAATCTTCTGCATATTGGTCAAGTGTGTTGTACACAGCATGAATATCCATCTCATCCAGATCCTTCGTGTGCCTTATTTGTGAGCTCAGCTTCTTCCAGTCAGCTCCAAGAGAAGATAGAAATCTCACGTTCAGCTCCATGTTTGACTTGTGCACGCCGATTTTTCTCATCTCATTTATCAACTGCAGGAATCTGAGGTAGGTGTCTTCAAGTGATTCTCCGAGCTTGGCTTTGAATGAGTCATAAGCAGTGAATGTGCTAGCTTTCTTCGCCTTTACTCCGATCTCAGTGCCTTGCATGATCTTGAAGATCTCATCCCACATCTCTTTTGCAGTTGACATGCTGTCAATCTGCATATAGATGTCGTTCGGGATGGCCTGCAACAAGTAGGTCTTGGCAATGAGATCTGCACGGAGTCTTGCTCTGTCTTCGTCATCATATTCATCAGCCGTCTTGGGTCTCCACTCAATCTCCACCGGTGGGTTGTTCCCGTTGTCTCTCTCAACAGCTATCATCAATTGAGCGGGTCCATTGGTGATAGAGTCAAGAAGACCTGAGGATTGGTCCTTGCTCTCAAGGAAATTTAAGAATCTGTTCTTCCATACATTATACTCTCCTCTTCGAAGAATCGGGGGTCTTGTGTCATTTCCGATTGATAATGCGTCCATGTTAAATGATCGGGCTGATCAGTTGATTGATTTGATTCTGTCCAGTTGTTAGGTAATTCCGGCAGAAGGTTCTTGTTCAGAAAAGTTGTAAGTGTGAGATCGCGCAGATGTTGGAAGATCGCTCAACACTTAAAAATTCTAAGTCCAAATCTCTCAAGTCCAAAGATGGGGCAGTTTCTTAGATCGGGCGAGTCCAAAATGTGCAAATCAGCAATCGCGCAGGTGTACTTGCGCGAAGTGAGGATCGCGCAGAAGAGCAAAATCGCGCAGGATGAGTTGCGCGATATCTCAAATCGCGCAGGGGTGAAATTTTCAAACTGTAGATCGCGCAGGTATGAAATCGGGCAACTCCAAAAGATCGCTCAAGATCAAAATCGCGCAGAGTGCTTCGCGCGAAGTTGAAATCGCTCAACTCCAAATCGGGCAACCTGAGTTGCGCGAAAGTGGAAATCGGGCAGGAGTGCTTTTGCGCGAAACCTGTTCTTCTTCCCTAGGAGTTGCGCTAAACTGCAGAATCGCTCAACTTCAGCTTCACCTGTACGTCAAATTTCAGATCGAGATTTTCTCCAGGAATGATCCTAGCAACAGTAGAAACCTTTTCCTTCAGCCATTTTCCTGTAAAGACAACAACAAAAATAGAACCAGAAATCGCTCAAGTGCGAAACTTCAACGATGAAGAATCGCGCAGAAGCTTTTTCAGCCTTCAATCGATCGATCAGCTCCGGCTCTGATACCAGATGTTAGGTCCCTGTTTTCTAGTCTAGAATATGTATGTATGGAAGAGAGATCTGGGAATGAAGCTTTCCATTGATGTGAAGGTTTTACAGAATGATATGAATGTTTTAGCGTGAAAACCTTACACGAGAATGGCACTGCGGCACAGAGAATAATAGAAAAGCTTAACCTAGCCTTTCCCTTAAGGCATATATATAGCCTGACGGGAAAGGTAGGTTTTACAATCATTTGGGCTCCTTTTCCTAGGAGGCCCATTCCTTAAAAAGGTATAAAACCTTTATTACAAAATTGCCTTAAAAGGCCTATTTATTATTCTAGCTAACTATAAATTAGCAAAGTAACATTGATCACAATTACAATGAAAATATCTCTAACAGTGTTCGACATTCCAAATCCCAGCGTGGTTCCCCTCCAATGTGTGGAGGAGGAACGTCCCCTGGTTGTATCTTCTCATGACCTTGTACGGCCCTTCCCAGTTTTTGGCCATCTTGCCACCTTCGAGCGGCCTGCTCTTCTCCCTCTTCCTGAGTACGAGGTCCCCAGCTTCAATTTCGCGGATCTTCACCGCCTTGTTGAAGTATCTTTGGGTGGCTCGGTGATATTCCTCCATGCGACGAGCTGCTAGGTCTCTTCGTTCCTCGATGAAATGGAGCTCCGCTCGTAGGTTTGCCTCGTTGTCCTCCGGCTGGAAATGCTTTGTGCGATGCGTGGGCACCAGCACCTCTGTTGGCACCTTGGCCTGGAATCCGTATGCCAAAGCAAAAGGTGTCTCGCCGGTTGCCGTCCTTGGGGTTGTTCTGTACGTCCAGAGTACGTAGTTGAGCTGCTCCGGCCAGGTGGATGCGTAATCTTCCAATTTCTTTTTAATCCCATCCATGATGGTCCGGTTCATGTTCTCCACCTGGCCGTTGGCCTGCGGGTAGGCCACCGAGGCCTTAGAGTGCCTGATGCCCCACTTCGCCAGGTATGCTTCAAATCCTCTGCCGACGAACTGCCGGCCATTGTCAGTGATGACCTGCTCCGGAATTCCGAAGCGGCATATGACATTCTGCCAGAGGAACCTCTGACATTGATATTCGGTGATGGAGGCAAGCGGCTCGGCTTCTACCCACTTTGTGAAGTAGTCAATCGCTACAATGACAAACTTCCTTCCGCCGGTCGTCGTCGGGAGAGGGCCCAGTAGATCTATGCCCCACCTGGCGAAGGGTAACGCGACCGTCATCGGAGTGTAGAAGCTTGCCGGCCGCCCGGGGACGGGAGCATACTGCTGGCATACTGCACATTTCCGAGTGTGGCTGAAGCAATCCTGCTGGATGGTCGGTCAGTAATACCCTTGCAAGATGATTTTCCGAGCCAAAGTACGAGGGCCCTGGTGACTGGAACAGATGCCTTCGTGTATCTCTTCAACGACGGCCGCTGCCAAGCTCGGTGGGAGGCATCTCAAGTATGGTCCTCCGAACGTCTTTTTGTATAGCTGTCCATTAATGAGCTCGAAGTTGGGGGCCCTCCTTTTTATCCATGCTGCCCGTCCGGAGCCGCCATCATCCTCAGGCTCGGGGAGCGTCCCATCCCTGAGATAGTCTGCGATCTCCTTCGACCAATTAGGTTCGGCGATGGAGATGGTTTCTACCCGGATGACGTCCGTCGCCGGTGTTGGGAGTGTCTCTTGCCTGACGAAGCCCCTAATGTGCCGGGGGATGCTCGTCGTGGGGTCATCGCTTGGGGGATTGCCTAGCTTGGATAGTATATCAGCCTCGGCGTTCTCCACCCGCGATACCTGCTCAATTATCACCTGTTCGAACTGCGCGGTTTGTTCCTCCGCGAGCTCCTTGTAGATCTTCATCCTCTCTTCCCTGGTCTCGGCCGTCCCATTCATCTGGGTTACCACCAGTTGACTGTCCATTTTCACCTTGAGACGAGCTGCGCCGAGTGCCTTTGCACACTTCAGTCCCGCAATCAGCGCCTCGTACTCAGCCTCGTTATTGGTGACTTTGAATTCAAATTTCATGGAGTAGTAGGCCTTGAAACCCTCGGGTGAGGTGATCACTGCTCCTCCGCCACAACCTTTTGCACTCGAGGCCCCATCGGTGTACATTTCCCACCAGTTGTTGAAATCATTGTCGCCTTGGGGATCGTCCTCGGTGCGCGCAGTGCATTCGGCAATGAAGTCTGCCAGCGCCTGTCCCTTGATCGTCGGCCTTGGTTTGAACTCAATTTTGTATTGGCCGATCATCAGGGACCATTTGGTTATCCTCCCGCTGGCCATGGGGTTCCGGAGGATCGTGGCGAGAGGCTGTGTCGTGTATACAATCACTGGGTGTGCCTGGAAGTACGGTGCCAGGCGTTTGACGGATGCTATCAAGGCGAGGATCGTCTTCTCCATCAGTGTGTATCTGATCTCCGAAGCGTTCAGCGCTTTGCTCACGAAATAGATCGGTCGCTGAACGCCTTCTGCCTCCTTGAGTAGCACAGCACTCACAGCCAAGTCTGCCACCGCCAGGTACATGTATAGCTGCTCCCCGGGGTCTGCCTTGGTGAGGACGAGCGGAGAAGAGAGGTATACTTTGAAATCTTCGAAGGCAGCCTTGCACTCTGGTGTCCACTCAAAGGGATTTGCCTTCTTCATGATCTGAAAGAAGGGAATTGCCTTATCTGCTAGCTTTGACATGAATCGGCTCAGGGCTGCCAATCTCCCGGTGAGGCGCTGCACATCCTTCAGATTCCTCAGGGCCTCCATGTCAACTATTACCTTTACCTTCTCTGGGTTAGGCTCGATCCCCCGCTCACTCATCATGTAGCCGAGGAACTTGCCGCCCTTGACGGCAAAAGCACACTTCTTTCGGTTTAGCCTCATGCTAGCCTCCTCCATGATGGTGAAGATCCTCTCCATGTCCCGGACGTGATCCTCCTTCTTCTTGCTCTTGATCAGGATGTCGTCCACGTAAGCCTCCATGGTTTTCCCTAGTACGTCTTTGAACAACATCCCGATCATTCTCTGGAAAGTAGCCATGGCATTCCTCAGGCCGAACGGCATGACCACATAACAGTACACGCCGTCCGCCGTGACGAATGCTGTTTTCTCTGCGTCATCCGGGTGCATGAACACCTGATGGTAACCTCTGAATGCGTCCATGAAGCTGAGCAGCTCGCAGCCCGCCGTTTCATCTACGAGCAAGTCGATCCTCGACACTGGATACAGATCCATCGGGCAGGCCTTGTTGAGGTCCGAGTAATCGACGCACATCCGCCATGTGTCGCCTTTTGGGGCTAATACCACGTTGGCCAACCACTCCACGTGGATGACCGGCCGGATGTGCTTGATGTTGAGGAGCGTAGCAGCCTCCTTCTTGATGAAATCTCGCCGCTCGGCTGCCATGTACCTCTTCTTCTGTTGGATAGGTTTGGCATCCGGCCGTACGGTAAGGAGCAGGACCTCTTCCCACAGACGGCGCCAGTGTTGAGGTTTATTCCTTCAACCCCCGGGTCCAACACGTAAGCCCAAGGATTTCGAATGGAGTGTGTATGATTAGATTAGCCCAACAAGCAGATGATATGGATTAAAAAGGCAGGAAAGTAGCAAGTAAATGATTAGGTATTATTATCTCTTAATAACTCCCTAATACAATACTTTTCGCTAAGGCTCCGTCGGCCGTTCGTCCTACAAGGCAGTAGAAGTGCTGCGAGTAAGAGTGCTATAGCTAGAGTGCTAAGAATAGAAAGTTGCCAACCCTTTACAATGAAATAAATGCTTCTATTTATACCCGCCAATGGGCAGGTGGCTATGCTGACGTGGATGCCTGTGGACCGCTTGTGTCCCAACCACCAAATCTTCTGCATTAAATGCACTTCCCGCCAGAATCTAGGTTTCCCGCCTAAATAATGGGGACGTTCGTCCGCCTGGGAGCGAGCTGGGTCGCTCCAAGTGATCCTCAAGAGGTTTCGGCTGTTCGTCCCCTGGCCTTGTGGATTCTCTCCATGTGGACTGGATTTCCTCCGATGATCATGGGCCTGCTTAGGAGACGTTCGTCGCCATCCCTGATGGCCCGTGGTCCTGCTCCTTACCTCTGCACAGACGTTCGTCGCGATGGGCCATTTGAACCTGAACCCCCCAATTCCAGACGTCCGTCTCTTCCCAAGGGTCATGGGCCTGCGTCCAGCCTGGTCCTAGCATGACGTACGTCCGATAGAAAAGGGGTTAATGGGCCGGACCTCGGCCTGGGCCATTATCCCAACAACTATGCTGCAGTGATAGTTAGATTGGGAGAGTTCCAGGCATTAAGTGACTACACGTATGTTTTTTTTAACACACCAAGCATATATCTGTTTTTCCATGTTTGATTATTGCTCTATTTTATTTTTGTTCTGTGGTACTAGATGTGTAAAGGAATATTTCAGTTCACTGAAGTATTCAATTAGAGTTTTCACATAGTCCATTTAATGTCCCAAATTTCCAGACAGGTTATGTGAATTCATTTTTAACGATCTTAGATGTCAATACAATTTCATTGATTTCATAAAGTTCTTATTAAAGTGATGAAAAATCAATTTATTTTGGCATATCTCTGAATATCCCTACCCCAAAATAGAACAATACACCCTTGAATAGTAATGAAAATAACATCTTTGAGAGTATATGTGTATAGGGAGGGAATGTTATCCATTTATTTATTCTGTAGTTGTATCTTACATTTATATAATTTGTATGTGTTTAGAGAAAGACATGTCTTCAAGGACTTCCATATCGCGTGGTGCTCAGCGTGCAATCCGTGGCCGCCCAAATAATGGTGTTATTGTTGGTATTGGTACCACTCGGAACTTGGCTTTAGGAGGGCATACAGCTGGATTAGATGGCCAACAATCACCGAACACCCCTCCGTCAGATGGAAGTGGATCATTTGCTTTGAATACAAGACCTGAACTTTCAATGCAACCTAACTTGATACCACACAGTGTGTCTCTCACACAGTCTTGCGATTACATTGTGGTCGGAGAGTAAGTAATTGCTTTTGGCAATCCAGTTACTCCTAAAAAACCACATCTATCAATAGGGCTTATATTTTATCATTAATAAAATTTACTCATTTTTTGTAGTTTGAAAGTAAATGAAAAAGTGAAGAAGTCCCTTGAAACTATTGCTTCACAATTGTTCACTGGCTGGCCAGCTAATTACGGAAATTTGGATCCCAAGTCTCATGAGAAATACTTATCACTATTCTCGGTAATTATATTAGAATCCTTGTCCATATATTCGATTGGATATTCTAATTATTATATAAGTTGCTATTGTTTTTCAGGAAGAGTATACATGGGCCCCGTCAGATAAAAGTCGAATGATATCCGAAGTTCATTCACAATTTGCTAGTCGTTACACGGCACACATGTCCAATTTGAGAAATCATATATAATCCAAAATTCCGGATTTTTTTCCAGATCAAGACTACACAAGATTCATTCCCTTCCGTCCGGAGCTCGTAACCTCTCACACATGGGCTAAACTGTGTAACTATTGGAACTCTGATGAATGGAAGAAGAAGTCTAAAGTTGCAAGATGTAACCGTGTTGGTAATATTGAGCTATATTATTTTGATTAAAGTAATAATAACTACGGATGATTGTGTTATAGACAATGAAAATAAAATTAATATGTAGGCAACCTTTGTGATGGTGAAGTTCCTGCAAAGACAAAAGGAAGAAAGTCTAAAGCGCGATTTTATTCTGAATTGGTAATTACTAATACAGGTTTTGGAATGAATAATTTAGCATGTAATGTGTATAATTTCAGACTTCAATTTGTTATTCAACTAACAGGAGGAGGAACTTGGCCGAACTCCAACAATGGAGGAATTTGGAGTTAAGTGGAATGCAGTTGACCCTGTAACAGGTCAGCTACCTTCAACACCGCACGCTCGTTACATGGTATGGTGTATATAAAAGATAATTCTTTTTAGTTGTGCTGGTCTATATCAATCTAAATGTAAAGCTAATTATTAATTGCCATGTACAAATAATCTGTGTTGTAGTTTAAATTACTATAATAATATCCTTTTCTTGTAGGCTAATTACAGTCAACAAATGGAAGAAAAATATGGACCGGACCGGTCACAACATCCAGTGTTTGACTTTGAGATTTGGACACAAATTACCGGTCCTCCAAAAAAGGGGCGACTGATTGGTGTACCGGACCAATTATCAAACCCTGAGTTGTTTAAACCATCAAAACCACAAGAGGTATGTCTGTATGTAAACTTAGATATATGTTGAGTGCTGTTGATAACAAATAATGTCTATTTAATACTCTGTATATATTTATTCTATGTGTTAGGGAGATACTAATAGTTTGAACTGGAAGCGTAATAATATAATATGTACTGCAAAGAAAATTACAAAATAACTTCTTGGTTTTTTGTCTAGTAGACTAATGATTCTGTAATACAATCATGCGTTCTCCCCTACTGTTTGAAACAGAGAATGTAGGTTGAAGACTTTATTAGCTCTATTCAATATTATGTAATCAATTTCTTTCTCAAAATTTGATGGTTACAAAATTGCAGGATAGGTGTGTGGTTTTAGAACATCAAATTGTTGATCTCAAGGTTGAAATAGAGAGTATGCGACTTGGTATGTTGGAGCTTAAGACAGAAAATGAAAAAATCCAGGCTGAAAATACACAGCAAAAAACACATTTCAACTCTACAATCAGCAACATTTGGGGTTTCCTAATCAATATGGGTGTTGCTAACCAAAACATGATCCCTTTTAATTTTGGGTCATCTCAACATCATCCTGCAATGATGTTTGGGCAGCAGTCACAACTCCATCAGCACTTACCATCCAGGCAACAACAAGGATCGTTCAGTCAGCTTATTGGGATGACATATGCCCAAGCTCAACAAGAAACGGTAGGGGACCAGCCTCCACAATTTATTCAAGGTGATCTTGCACAACCTAAGGCAGCTCAACGTTTCTCAAACCCGCCTGCCTGCCATCCAACGCGACCAACTGTTGCTCCACGTATTTTTCCTATGCGGCATACTCATGTAGACTCATTGACCTCCCATTGTGATGAAGAGGAAATGGTTGATGTAAACAATGACAGTTAGCAAAACATTTCAAGTTGTTGCAACTTTTTTGTGTCATTCATTCACATATTTGTACTCTGCAATGTTTCTACATTTTGGTTTAAAAAATTGAGTTATTTTCGTCTCATGAATGATGAATCCATGCAATTATTATGTTTGTTGACAGTATTGTTATTATGCTATACTCGTATATTATTGTATTCTTTCAATTTATTTTAAAATACGTACTCCGTATAAATTACGGTGTACTTTGTATTACATTTGATAAATACACTTTTTACACGACGGCCTGTTAAAGTTTACAGAGGGATCCCTTATTAGTTGGTTATTTAATAGACAAGTTGATTGGTTACACGTTGCAGGTTTATGACCCCTGGAATGGTTATACATTTGTTATACTTGGTGGTTTAGGATGTATGACTTATGAGGGAAGGATCCCTTATTAATCCATTATTAATTGATGTGGTCATTGGTTACAGGTGGCAGACTTATGAGACCAGGAATGGTTATATATCCCTTATTAGCTAATAAGGAAACAATCCGTTATTCCTAGGCTGACCACCAAAATTTTAATAAGGGATTAAATCACCACGGATTCCCTTATTATATATGGCAAACAAATAAGGGATAGCTCGCTATTATCACATTTTCATTCACGTAGTGAATTTTTTTTTCAATTTGTGTAAGGGAGCTGGAGCCATTAATCCCTTATAAGGTTGAAGGACATGTCAGCACAATTTAATAACAAAGGGATTCCTTATTAATCCCTTATTGGATTTCATAGTCAAATGAAAGTCTACTTTCACAATAAGGATTAATGACCAACTTGTGCAATAGCCTATTATAACCAAGTTTCCTTATAGCTGCCCTTATTAATGTTCCTTCATTCTGGTAGTGTTATAATATCAGAGGCATAAAGATTATTTGAAAAAGAAATCTTTTTTTGTTGTTTCGGTAGCAGAGGTTATTTGTGATGTAACTCGTGTTAGGCTAAATGTAACTTGTGTTGATAGAAAATGTAACTTACATGTATGCAAAATGTAACTTGCTGATGCAAGTCCTCCACATGTAACTTGCTGATGCAAGTCCTCCAAATGTAACTCGTATATTAGCAAAATGTAACTTCAATTACACTGATGTAACTCGCGCATAAAATGATGTAATTTGCGCTTAAAATGATACAAGTCACATGTAAAAAGATGTAAATCGCGTTAAAATGAAATGTAACTTGAATCTAAGCTAAAATGTATATAAATTTGGATAGCAACTACGTATATGTTTGTGTGTGTAATATGAAGATTTGTAATCAAGTGCATTATTTCTGCAGCAATGTAACCAGCTATCATTAGATGAAATACAGAGGTGGTGTAATATAGAGACATGCAAGCAAGTTGATGGCCAGCAATCATCGTTGCCTTCCAATCGGTCAAAGATGGGGGCAAGGCTTGACTCCATGATACAACACACCAAGGAGATCACGTTTCTAGCTAGGTTTCTTCTTCTAGCGATTATCACGGAGATCAGATCTTCTTCCAGGACCTATTTGCTCTCCTGCGCTGTTGTTGCAGTCACGATCTTTTTTTTTAATTAAAAAATATGTCGTTTTGGGATCAGCACACCATACACATGGTGTGGCGATCGCACGGTATAATTTGCACATCATTTTGCAATTTGCATGAATGAATCACATGAACCTCCCACGAAAATCGCAACAGTATTTCCTTCCATATCAGTTCCGCAATCCGATCAGCGTTAATTAAACGTACTAGTTTAATTAATTGAGGCTATTAAAACTACTTTAATACTCGTAAGTCATAACAACTATAAGGTTATACGGAGTAGGATTATTGTGTAGAAATTAGGAAATATATATATATTCCTGTGGAATGTTCTAACAACTAAAAATATGGAGTTCAAATTTGGAAACTCTTTTAATTTAATTAAAATATCATATCTATAATTTACTTATTTACATATAAGCAATGAAAACGGAAAATAAATTTTAAATATTTTAAAAAATTGAATATGCGTATAGAATTTGAACTATGGTTTTCAAGAAATTAAAATATAGTTTCAATATACTCGACCAAATGTTTAAAAATACTTAAGAAATCCGATTTAAAAATATATACTCCTTTAATTAAAAATTATTTTAATGTAGGTTTAATACTTCGTACATAGTTATAAATATATTTAAGTATTTAAAGATTGAAGCATATATAATTTACAAGGAAAAGAATACTCCGTATTTTAACAAGTACTCCGTAATATTTTAACTACTCAAACATATACTGCGACGTACTTCCTCCGTTCCCATTTAATTGCAACAGTCAATATTTCACGTTTGCCAACGCACAAGTTTGACCATTAATATCTTTCATTTCTTATTAGATAAAAATTTTAAAAAAATCATATTTTGAAAATTTAAAATAAGAAGAATTTAATAATATTTTTTAAAAATTTAATTTATAATACATTGATTAATAAAATATAGTCAAAGTAGAATATGTGAATAGTGAAAAAAGTCTAATGTTGCAATTAAAAGAAAACGGAGGTAGTATATGTTTTAAAGTGCAGTTTAATTATTCAAGTATACTTTGGTGGCAAGTTTCAATCCCCATTAGGACAAGCTAAGGAGATATAAGTCGGTTCTGAAACTACAAGTGAGTAAACCCTACAAATATCATTACATTACTTGTAAGAATCAACGTACGATTTTCTAACTTTGAGAGCATTTTCATTATATTCTACTATCGTATACTATACGTAGTATTATATTGTTGGAGAGAATTGAAGGAGATCCAGCCAGAAACTATGGAGAAAGCAGAAGATTATGCTCGTGGAGAAGACGGTTACGTTCTTGATCAGCAGCCCATCCGCACGACAAGTTCCGGCGTCATGATGAAAGCCGCCGCCGTACTCAAATCTCCGTCATCCTCGGATGATGTTAAGGTTCCTGTCCAGATCCTGGCCGTTAAAACCCACAAGATGGAGTGCCTGTACGAGCTGCTGGAAGCATACAAAGTGGCCAAACGTTGTCCCCACAAGAACCTCGTGGGCCTCCACGTGTCTTTCAAGAACCCTAGGGATGACCGGCTATGGATCGTCATGTCTGACGTGTCAAGGGTTTCCTTGAGGACGATGATGACCAGCTTGACGTCCCCTTTGCCGGAACCTATGAGGGTTTCCATTCTACGCCAAACCCTAGAGGCGCTGGACTGCATCCACACTGCCGGCGACAGAGCTCACGGCGACGTTTGCGCCGGGCTGGTTTACTTGGACGGCAAGGATTTCTCCACGGTGAAGTTGGGTTTCCCGGAGCTCATGTGCGAGAGGGTGACTAAGCCGCCGGCGGAGTGTTGGGTGGCGCCCGAGTTGGCCGATGACCCGAAGATGGCGCACGGGAAGGCGGCGGACGTATGGATGTACGGGATCTTTATATTGGAGGTTCTGTCCGGTGGCCGGATCCCGGTGTCTACCTACAAGGAAGTGAGGGATTTGGTGAAGGTGAAGAATATTAGCGTTGACTTTTCTTCGAAAAAGTTAAACCCATCGTCATCCATAGTCAAGAAAGTGTTTGGCTGCGGCTTCAACAATTGCAAGAAGATGGTGAAGGAGGAGGAGATTCTAGAATGTTCTGATTCTCTTGCAGATTTGATTAGACAGTGCCTTCATGAAGATCCCAAGAGGAGGCCGAGTTGTAGGGAATTGTTGGAGCATCCATATTTCAAGCCGTCCTCCAACGTTGAAAGAGACTATGCCATTAAAGTCAACAAGGTTCTTGCCCTTCATCTCAAGAAAGCATGCGGCCAAATGTATAGTACAGTAGTTGATTAATTACTTTATCATCTTGATATGAAAGCACAAGAATTTGATAGAGATTTGTATTATACGTAGTATATGGATCAATTAATATTGTGTATTGATCGACAGAAGATTGTCTTAATCATACTCCGTATTTCATATAGTTTGTGGAATATAATTCGTTTAAAGAAAATAGTTTCATGAAGGTATATAATTTAGTATGATCGAACTGCGGCGTGAGTAATTTAG